CCCTCTGAAGCTTACTCCTCCATTATCCTGGAAAACTAAAGATTAACCTTCTGGATTATAGGTATGATCCTAGTACCCCAAAAGGCTCGAGGTTACCTACTCTACTACAAAGCAGCCAGGAGCATCGATTCTCTCATGGCCTCTCGATCTTGTGCCGCGGTCGCCTGTCGTGTGCAGGCAAGCGCAGCCGACCCAAAACCTGAGCCTTGAATCCCCAAGCTCTGTAGCACAGGGGCGTTAAGAATTAGAATAGGGTTTTGGGGTATACTGTACTGTAATAATAATGATAACAATAATAATAATAATAATAATAGTAATAAGGAGCCCGGAGGAATAACATTGGTAACTATGTAGGCTTCTATATGTTATTTATCCCAACCACTGAACCTGAGAGAGCCCTGCTCCCTCAGCCCCAAAATCACAGCCCACGCTTCAAGGTTTAGCCCGAAGGAAAATGTTTAGGGTTTACGGTTTAGGGTTTAGGGTTTGGGGCCCATGACAGAAACTCAAAACTTCATGCAACACGCCCCTGCGACAGTAGTCCAGGTGGTTCTATTGCCCAGCCCAGGCACCATTACAGGGCAATTGTAGAAACGCACATGAATCCTAAAAAGCAGTCAATACAACTGTATTGGGGTGTCCTATTTTCTGGAACTCCCATGTGAGCCGAAGTGATGGTTGACATTGTCAAACGTCTTGATTAGAATGAGTGAAGAAGCAACATCAGCAACGAACAGTCGGAAAGTCCATCCTGGCAGCAAGTAACGGCAATTGCACAAGAGTATATCAATACTGCTGCGTAAGTGTGAGGCATGCTGAGAAGTGCTTTCATGATCTTGGGCACACTGCTTGCACATGGTGACGGCTTGGAGCTGAAGCCCTTATACTGCATCTAAAGGACGACAAGGGGACACTGTTGCTACTTCTAAGGGCCACCTGCGGGGTCGTACTTGCAGACTGGGTTGGGGCCTATTCGGTTTCGGGATCTGGGTGCGTGGCTTCTTTCTTCTAGCCGTTAACCCTTTCTGAAGGTACATACCCTAAAGCCTAAACCCAAAGCCCTATAAACCCCAAATCCTAAACCCTATGTTGTTCAAGGCTGCCCGAAGTTGGAAGACTCCGAAAGTCGCAGATGCTCTGGCGGCCTCGTCGTCGAGCACCCGCACGTTTTGCGGGCCGCGCTGAGCAGAGAGGGGGGTTGTTCCAAAACTTATGCTCAACCCCCCCTACACCCTAATTTTTAACACCCTAGGGTTTTGCATCGCGGCTTTACATCTCGGGATCCCCATATCTCCCCTACACGGCATGTGCCATCGTTTTAAGCCGCGGAGCCCCCAAAAGCCAGGCAGTAGCTTTTCAAAAACATCAGGGGAGAAGCCATGGGCCCTGAGGGCGCAGGCCATCTTCGAGGGGTGAGCCTATGCTTTGGCTTTCGGGTTTAGGGTTTCAGGGTTGTCGTTTACGCTCGTCGTGCCCCAGACATAAAAAAAAAAAAAAAAACCTACTATGTAGAACATATACATATGTCTATATATATATATATAGTAGTACTAGTAGTTAAATTAGTAAAATTAGTATTCGTATTCGTACTTCGGGGATCTTTGCCAAGGGTTGGCCGAGTTGGAATTCAGGGGCCAGTCGAAGGTTTGTGGATATCGTGGTAATGTAAGGGCCTAAATAATTACCAATACTATGTTGGGGATTCCTCATTATATTTATAGTATAATGAGCCCCAAAGATCTATTCTAATTGTTAAGGCCCCTATATTAGAAGGGCAAACCTCACTGTAAAACCGAGGCATCTGGATGAACTGGGCTTGAAGAGCAACAAAGACGCTTTTCATGACCATGGTCATCATCACTTCTGCCGTTAACACGATCGTCACCGTCATGACCAACACCACCATCACCCTTACCCGCACCAGCACCATTACCACCTTTATCTTCACCAGCCTGATCATCACCACCATAGTCATCATCAAACTCGTTATCCTAATCCTCCTCTTCATCATCGTCATCATCATCACCACCATCACAAGCCTCCGTCCAGCTGCCGGCACTCCTATCTGCTACTTTCATTACAGACCTCTGCTATTTCAATACCCCCTGTGGCAGTCTGCCGTCGGAGACAGCAGCCATCGACGACGACGACCAACACAGATGGTGATGGCACTCAGAGAAAGCGACCAATGGCGGAAAGGACAACAGGAAAAACCGACACGGAAACGGTAATGATGACACACAAATCAGCGATAGCAAGGCATATGAGGACGAGCACAACCATAAGCTTAACAACGGAAACAAGTACCCATGTGGCCCATACCACTACGACTAGTACCTACTAGGTACTTCTACTTCTCCAGCCTTTCAATGCTGCTGACGATGTGGCGCTCTCAGTTTAGGGTTCGGCGTTTGAGCTCAGGCTTTTCGGGCTTAGGGCTTAGGGCATCTATCTTCAGATTTCGCAACAGTGAGACAGCTTCTGCAAGCTTTTGCCCTCGCAGACCACACATCGCATGACCGGCTACACTGTACATAGCCAGAGCAACTGCCACGTGGCCACGGAAAGTCAGACCTCTGAAGCAGAATCCACCAGGTTAGGGTCTAGGGAAGTTTCTTTTGAATATTTAGTACTGGCCCTTTCCCAACGGCAGAACAGCCAGGGTTTAGGGTTTAGGCCTAAACCCTGAACCCGGTGGGGCAACCCAAACCCTGACACGCTAAACAACAGTCAACAACCTGAGAGCTAGAAAACGCAACACAATGACCACGTCAACGCATCTGAAGCCCGCCAAGATATCGCAGGCAGGGTTAAGGCTTAGGGTGTAGAATAGTGTTTAGGGTCTAGGGGTTCAGGGCTTCAGGTTTAAGTCTAAACCCTCAGCCGTTTAGGGATTCGGGGTTCGTAATGTTTAAGGTCTGAAGAGCTTCATGAAGGCTGCCATGAAGAGGCCCTAGTTTGGGTTGAATCCGCCTGGGATTAAAACTTCTTGTGCATTGGGGGTTTAGGTTTATCTGTAAGATACAAGGCGTTAGGGCGTTGGGCTTGGACTGCCAAATACTACACTTCAGATCCCTTGCAAAATCCCTTTCCTAAAGCCGATACTCTAGATGTATAGGGGCCTGAGTGGTTAGGCCAGGGTTTAGGTGGAGCTATTGCAGTGTGATGACACGGACGATAAGGGGTGTGTCATAGTTAACCTGTCCTAAACCCCCAAACCCCTACATAACCCCTCACCCCTAACCCCTAAACCCTAAACCCTAAAAACTCTAAACCCTAAACCGTCCAGAAAGCCCTATGATCGCCTTCTTTGTCGTTTCGGTTTCAGGAGTGCCGGCCTTCCTGGGCATGTTTGTCAGGCCTTTGCCTGAGTCCCAGTGAGGTCCAAGTACGTTCGGAGACTGCATGGTTTCGGGCTGGGGGCGGATTAATCTTTGGGCCTTCGTAATGTTTTGGGGGCTCCTTATGATAATTATAGTATAATATACCCCAAACCCTATTCGAATTATTAAGGCCCCGATATTAGGGCCTAGGAAGGTTTAGAGGCCTAGAATGCAAGGCTTTGGGGTTCAAACCGAGAGACCGGAGCTTCGGCCGTTTGAGGGCTTTAGGTTGGGAGTGGCCGCTGGAGTGTCGGGCGGCAAACCTAAACCCTAATCTCTAAACCCTAAACCCTAACCCTGAGGACCTAAGAGGATCTCGAACAGAGATTCCTGAAGGATAGACGGCTAGATAGACAGCTATATAGATAGATTGCTAGATAGATAGATAGATAGATAGATAGATAGATAGATAGATGGATAGATAGATAGATAGATAGAACGAAGGATGGATAGATGGATAATTAGATACATAGACATATAAATAAACAGATAAGTAGATAGATGGGTACTTGGACCCCCAGGGTGTAGGGGCAACGTGCACGTCAGCAGAGGCGTCCCACTTGCTCTGTACAGCGTCAGAAAGCAGAAAGGAGCCAAGTACGACGAGGGGCCGGGGATCCCCTAAGCCCTGAAACCCGAAGCCTTTAGGGGGTTAAGGTTTAGGGTTCCTTTAGGGGTTTGGGCTTTAGGGTTTAGGGCTCCTTTAAGGGTTTAGGGTTTAGAGTTCCTTTAGGGGTTTAGGCTTCAGGGTTTAGGGTTCCTTTAGGGGTTTATGGTTTCGGGTTCCTTGAGGGGTTTAGGCTTTGGGCTTTAGGGTTCCCTTTAGGGTTTAGGGTTCCTTTAGGGGTTTAGGCTTTAGGGGTTTAGGGTTCCTTTAGGGCTTCAGGGTTTAAGGTTCCTTTAGGGGTTTAGGGCTTAGGGTTCCTTTAGGGGTTTAGGGTTTAGGGTTCCTTTTGGGGTTTAGGGTTTAGGGTGCCTTTTGGAGTTTAGGGTTTAGGGTTGTTAAACCTGAGCCCTCAAGGAAAGCCTCTTCCCGTTTTCGGAGCATGCGCAGGCGCCTGCGCATAGCGCCACCACGCAGGGAGGGCAAGTTCAGCCAGGAGCAGATGCGTTCGTTCAGACATACAAACGGGACCAGCCACCCCAAGGGGTTTCCTAAACCCTAAACCCTAAACCCTAAACCCCAAACCCTTCTTCTTTCCCGTTGAAACGGCTAAGGGTGTACCGACCAGGATTTAAGGTTTCAGTTACAGGGATCCGAATACTTAGAGGGTTCAGAGTTTGCAGCTTAGGGTTCGATCTGCGAAGAGTTAACCCCTAAATGGAATCACTGAAACCGTCCTCTTTGAGTCCGTCGATATCTCAAGCCTTCTTGCACCCTAAAACCCAAAATCCTAATGCCTAAACTCCAAAACCCTAATGCCTAACACCCAAAACCCTAATGATGTCTGGCTCGCTGAGTCGTAGCACTCCTCGTGCGCGGGAGTCGGAGGCACTGCGCCATCCGCACGCTCCTTGAGCTGTCGAGCCTGCTTCACAAGCTACTTCAGCACTGGAAGCTGGTGCCTGACCGGGCTCCTTTGCTGGGTCGTTATACGAAAACAAAACCCTATTGATCTACAGCTCCCGGCGGTAGAAGACCGCAAACTCTGGATAGATCGCTTCCTCGTGGAAGAAGACGAACTCCCGAAACCTCAACTAACGGCTTTAGGCTTTGACTTTGACACCGCTTAACTCTTAGGCTCGGTCATACGAGCTCTGAGGGTTTCAGGGTACTCCTATACCCGCACTTCCACCGAAAATAACACTCTAAAAACCCAGTAAGAAACAACCGTCAAAGGAGCAGCAGACCCCCAAAACCCTAAACCCTAAACCCTGAGCTTAACCGACCCCACAAGAAGCGCCCCGAAGCCCCAAACACTACCGAAGGCCGCGTGGCGTTCCCACCGCGCGCTCCCGGTCCCCGACGACCTGGGCTCTTGCTAAGGAACCTAGCTCAAGTTATCAGAATATAGGGATCTATGGTACATAATCTGGCTAAGCCCTAAACCCTATCAGACTAGGGATCTAGAGTACATAATTTGGCTAAACCCTAAATAACCCTAAACCGTTTAATCAGGCTTCCTTATTCTGGCATCTCAGAATAACTTGGAGGTTCGTGGGTAGTTACAAGTGGGGTTATAAGTCCCCTAAAATGGGTTATAAGTATAGTTACCCTACTTGTAACCCTAGTTATAACTACCCATCCCCTAAACCCTAAACCCCAATGAACCTCGAAGAAATTCTTTAACAAAAAGCCCGGCGACGGACTCGAAGTCTCCCGAGGTGACCAAAGGACCGTAGTCGGCCGGATCTGTGACCTGCGCTTTATGCTGCTTGGGTCTTAGGGTCTTAGGATTTGTACAGTTTATGTAGCTATAGAGGCTTCATTTAGACTTAGGGTTTAGGGTTTAGGGTTTGGGGTTTAGGGTCTAGGGTCGTAGGATTTGTATAGTTTAGACCCATAGGCCCCATAGTAGTTCCTTTTTGGGATTACCTTAAAGGATTCTAAATATGAAGTCCAGAAAGGAACTACTACGGGCCTATGGGCAGGGTCTTAGGATTGATACAGTCTAGGCAGCTATAGAGGCTTGATTCAGGCTTGATGCGTTTCAGGTTTCGTGCTTCGAACTTGAAGAATGTAGGGTTTCAGGGCTGTTAACCTTGACAGAAAGGAATTTAAAGGCTCGTGGCTTTAGGGCGGAGCCTTTTACTTGAAAGACATATACGTTCACCCTAAACCCCAGGTCCCAAGGCGTTGAATGAGAATCCCCATGTCTTACCTTGAAGGAATCCCTTCAGTGGCAGCTGAACAAGGCTTGCTGAGATTTTGATCCCAGAACCTTTTTGAGGGGGCTAGCTTCGTGGTGTGTGTTTTACTGTGTTGATGTTATGGCTTTTTTCGAGTAGCCATTGAACGGTTGGGACCAAGAAAAGCAGCCGGGTGACCATTGATGAACCGTCGTCGATTCTTGCGAAAGGCAGAAAACCCTAAACCCAAAACCTTAAAAACCCTAAACCCCTAAACTAAAGCTCTGCAGGCCCATACCCCCAAACCCCAAAAAACGCTGAGGCCTGCAGCGCTCGCCCGACAACGGCGCGGCAGAAGAGCACGGCATAGAGCCCTTGCAAGCTTCGGGTTTCGGGTTTTAAGGGTTTAGGGTTTAGGGTTTATAGTTTAAGGTTTAGGGTTTAGGGTTTATAGTATTTGGCTTTGAGATGTCTGTAGGGCTTGGGGTTCGGGTGGGTTTGAGGTTTAGCGGGTCGGGTTTCGGGCTTGGTGTTTAGTTCTACGTAATTCTATAAGACCTTTCAGCATTCGGAGTTTGTGGAGGGTGGAGCTCGACAGTTTGGGTTTCAGAGCATTTTGCTTTGGATGAGCTCATCGGTGCTTGAGGCTGTTCTAGCTGATTTGATCAGCGATCTGGTGAAGCTTCCATTTGCAGCTAGTCTTCGACTCACTTAGAGGACCGTGCTTCTGCCGACCGGCCTCATCAGGAATGCGGGGCAGGAGGTTTACACGAACCCAGCCAGTCAAAGCACTCACCACTAGGAGATTGGCAGCCCCTAAACCCTAAACCAGAAACCCCTAAATCCAAAGCCCCCAAAGAACACCAACAACAAGGAAAAGGCTGCACGCAAAATCGAACCCCTAACCGAAAAGCACAGAGCCCCCCAGGTTTGATACCGAAGCTAGTTGTTGACGGCTGAACACTATGAGCTTTGTTGCAGTCTTCACCATATCAGTTCAAGTCATAAACTCAAAAATATCATACAGCTCATATAACATCAAAATAATGTCGCATTTACCTTTGTCTCAGCATTATTGCCGTTCTCGCTACCGCGGCCTGCATAAGAGCCGTTGGTGTCGTCCTGCGCATACTCGTCAGCCTTCACTGACCTGGGCTGTGCAAGTTTAGGGCTTAGAAAGCTCCAAGCCCTATAAACCTAGCTTTGGGCTGCTATAGAAGCCCACCCAAAGGGTCAGGGCGGTTACGGCTCTTAGACCTTGAGTTCATGAACCCATGAACCCCACAGCCCGCTGATCTCAAATGTACTTATAAACGCGCCTTTGATGCCAAAGAGTACAGCTTCAAAGCTCCTTAAACCGTGAACCACTATAGGCCCAGTCCAATAAATACCGTAAGTCGGATCTTAAGCTTTCGATACCCTAAACCCTAAACCCCTAAACCCCTACCTAAAACATGAACCCGAAAGCCCCTAACCCTAAACCCCTAAACCCTAAACCCCGAAACCCTAAACCCCTAAACCCAAAGCCCGAAGGTCGGGAGCCTTAAACCCCAAAGCTCCAAACCCCGCATGGATCCCTCTAGAACCCTTAGCCACGGTTTAGGGTTTAGGGTCTAGGGAGTCGAGGGTCTCGGTTTATGGTTTAGGGTCTAGGGTTTAGGGTTTGGGGTCTAGGGTTTAGGGCTTAGGGTTAGGAACCCCCCAAAACAGTGAACACTGCAAACCCTCAGCCCTCACAAAGCCTCGATAGAAGCCTGAGAGGAGCTTCTACAACCTCATGGAACCTTTAAACACCCTAAACTCTAAACCCTCATCCCGAATCCCTAAAACCCTAAACCCTAAAGTTTGAAAGTAGCCCTAAAGCCTATAAACTCCTAAAGCTTCAGCCCTTACACATGAAAAGCTCTGCAGAGTCAAAAGAAGCGACTCGCTGGGATCCGTGGCAGGACATTTAAAATGCAGAGGCAGGAACTTACAACGGCTCTGGAACTCTCATTAACCCTTAGCCCTAAACCAAACGCAAGCCCCTAAACCTCAGGTCATAGAACAGTTAACATATCCCTGAACCCTATATTACGGCCCTAACCCCTCAACCTCAAACCCTGAACCCTAACCTCAAAGACAGAAACGGGGGCAAGAAGCGACTCGGCAAGGTAGACGCCAGGTCCGAACATGGAGCCGGCGTTCCGGCCCGCCAAGCCCTCGACTTTTTGGGGCTGAGATTTGTTTACCCTGGCTTAGGGTTTGGAGGGTTTAGGGCTTTAGGGGTTTTAGGGTTCAGGATTTTGGGCTTTAGGGTCTACGGTTTGGGGGTTTGGGGGTTTAGGGTTCAGGGTTTAGGGTTTTAGGGTTTCGGGTTTGGGCTTGGGAGGGCACGGTTTTAACAGACTTCGAGCCTGCTGACAGTCATCTGCAGCGTGGGGGTTTCGGCATGTGGGCAGTTCTCTAAGTCAGGGTCCCTTTTAGGGTCCGTTCTATACGCGTGCCGTACTCTATTGGGGACCGAAAAAGGGACCCTAATTTAGAAAACTATCCATGTTGTTTTTAGGTATTCAGGAGTCGTTTGGGTCGGGGTCCTGGCATTCAGCTTAAGAATTTGTTTAGGCTGGTTCTTTCTTTACCGGGCAAAGGTTGGGCGTGGAGTGCAGGGTCTGGTAAGCCTGAATAGTGTATTTAGGGTTTGGAACTTTCTGAAACTGTGGGCAGTCAGTTGTGGACGACTCTCTTGTTACTTGGCGGCCTCTCCTGATGCTTATGAACATGCATAACGAAGAGATAGCTTGACATTATGTACGAAAATTCGTATTGGTTTTGCAAGCCCTAAACCCAGCAGACTCCACCCTAAACACAGCCGAAACACGCAGCCCCAAATCAGACTGGTCCCTGATTGACTAGCTTCCAGTTTACCAAAACTGACGAATGTAGGGGCCTTAATAAAATTAGAATAGGGTTTTGGGGAGGTTCCTTATTATAATTATAGCAAAATATACCCCAAACCCTATTCAAATTATGAAGGCCCCTAAACCCTTATAGCAGCCCTTATAGCATCCCTTAAAGGAACCCTTAAAAGGAACCCTTAAAAGGAACCCACCAAAGCCCTTAAGGCCCCTTTGTTTTTTAATCTCTCAATCGAGACGCCATTTTGAAGGAGGTGCGGAGAATGGACAAAGCAGATGTTGGGTTGCTTCCTGAGCGTGGACGTTGCTGTGGGGGAAGGGCGAGGAGTGTAGGGTTTAGGCTTTATAGGGTTTAAGGTTTAGAGTAGAGTTTAGGGTTTAGACGTTGCTGTGGGGGAAGGGCGAGGAGTGTAGGGTTTAGGCTTTATAGGGTTTAAGGTTTAGAGTGTAGGGTTTAGAGCTCAGGGTGTAGGGTTTAAGGTTTAGAGTAGAGTTTAGGGTTTAGAGTTCAGGGTTTAGGGTTTAAGGTTTAGAGTAGAGCTTAGGGTTTAGAGTTCGGGGTTTAGGGTTTAGAGTTCGGGGTTTAGGGTTTAAGGTTTAGCGTTTGGGCTTGTAAGGTCGTTTGGAGCTCTGAGACTCTAAAATTTACGCTCTCAGGGAGGGCAGAAGTGCTCAAGCAAGGCTCCCTGCATTTGCCTGACAGGCTCTGGGGTTGGGATCTTTAGGGACACTTTAAGGTAGGGGCCTGAAAAATAATTACCTATACTATTTTGGGAGTTCCTTATTACAGGTATAGTATAATAATGGGCCACAAATGCATGTTCTAATTAGTAAAGCCCCCAATTTAGTCGCTGGGATAGGGAGGTCAAAGCAGTCAGAAAACTCTCAGAGACCAATCCCCTGCAGGCCTGATGTGCACCCAGATGCGGTTCGTGTGGCGAGTTCGCACCAGCAGTAAGGTAGGGGCCTTAATAATTAGAATAGGGCTTGGGGGTGTATTGTACTATATTTACAATAAAGACCCCCCAAAAGCCTATTCTAAAATTATTAAGGCCCCTACATTAACAACAAT